CAGAGCAATGTTATTGCACATTGAAGCACTCTAATTGGAGCGACAGAGAGTTGGATGGACATAGTTCAGGGGACTCCATTTTTTCTTCTTTCCTTTACACAACCCTGATTTTTTTTCTACTAATCAAACACCCCTCCTACCCGCCCTCCCCGACATGTAATGGAGTTCGCTATCCAACATCTAACCTCTGATGCACAGCCCAAGCTAATGTACTGTGTATGTCTTTCAGTATCTGGCCTCCTCCTCTCCATTCTCCTCCGCACAAATCCAGCATTGCTACCTATGTTGAATAAATAAAGTTTCATCTGGGGAATTCAAATAGCACTTAGAAGAGGAGATTACTTAGCAGTCATGAGCTCCCGGACTAGAGAGCCACCACTCACTCAGATATCTGACTCCACCTATAGAGCTTTACCACTGTAACAATAATTGCACAAAACCCAGACAAAATGGCTACCACCTTAAATGGCACAGAGCTGGAGATAGGTGAGAAATGTTATCAGTAATGACAGCATTTATGGGGGTTTTTTTGGCATTGGTTCTTTCCAGGTTGTAGATAAAGTTTGCTGTTGGAAAAACTCAATCCAATTTAGGTGATGATAAAGCTGACCATAAACCTATAGATTTTCTGCAGATTTTCTATGGTCAGATAAATTGACCATAGAAAATCTGCAGAAAAAGTGCAACAGATTCCTCCATCTACGCTAAACTGTGTGGATGGAGGAATCTCCCACTAGGCCAAGCTTCAGTATCTTGCTAGTCGGCCCCACTAGCTTTCAAAACACCTGAACAATGCCTGCATCCAATTAGATTGTTCAGGCCAGATAATTTTTGGGCCAGCTTAAGGCACTAGAAGTTTCACAGTCAAGTTGCACACAACAGACGATCTTCACCGGACTGTTAACCAGTAATTTATTAGGTGAGGTATACAGTATATAGTGTGGACCTGCAATCCAGGGGCCTTCCCAAATGCACAAGAATTGAAAGCACCACAGACACCACATGGCATATATACTTCACCAATATTATTAGTTTACTCACTTTGATGGACAGGTTTACCTTAAATAAACTTACTTTAATAATTCTTCCGTAATTTCGCTAATAAAATACTCATATTATATACTTAAAAGGAGATTTTGGCTCTTTTCAAGACATCCACAATCAACTGGTGGCCCATCACTATACTAGATTTACGAGTTTAGAACTAAACTAGTTCTTTTCACAAAGTTCTTGGAAACAAACTTGAACTGTGTGGTTCTTTAAATACTGGAGTTTCAAAGAAGTGGTAACTTTATGGCACTCATAAGTGTTTAGTCATAAGCAAATATGGGCACTCGCATATATTTTTGCTTTGTACATTATTGGAAGCTTGCATGTTTCAGTATAAATGTGCCCATACACCTTACGACCATCGCAAGACTTTTGTCTTGTGAGGGTTGTAAAGTACTTAAAAAAACGTACGATCTGCCCATCTTCGACAGGTAGATCGTACTTGCGATCATCGCAAGCCTGCCCCCCTGCGGGGCGGGCTTCCGATGACTGCAATGAGGGGTGGGCTTCCGATGACTGCAAACGGGCAGTGTGCACGTGCGCACACCGGCACGTTCGGCAGTTGTCGAACAAGCAGGCCACTAACTCGCCGAGAATCGGTTTTCCAGCCTGCTTGTTCGACGGAAGACGTGCGACCGTACAGTAGAAACGGTCGCACGCCTTCCATATACTGCACGATTATCGTACGATCGCGGGACTTCCCGCGATTCTCGTACGAGAATCATGCAGTGTATGGGCACCTTTATATACAGCTATTCTAACGTTTATTTACCAGTTGTAAATAAGTCTGGTGATTTTTCATCCACTGCACTGATCAATGCATATGGGGTATATTTATAAATCAGTAAATGTGACTTTCACCAAACATTCTCTGGTGGAGGATCAATCAGTGTCATTTAAAACACATGCACCTGTAAATTTTAGCTGCAGAGAATGTTTGCAGAGTGTCAAATTCACTGCTTTATAAATATGCCCCATTTAGACTTGCAAATTATCTGACACATGATAGTCAATGCCCGGCTGTGACCCCTCCACATTCCTGGCTCCAATGCTATCATACATAAGTGTCATTTCACTAATACAAAACATTACAAAGGAATATTATATATAGCTATTTATATAAATTTAAGCTGAACACCAAACGGATACAAAATGGAGCATATTTTTTATTTTTTTTACATTCTGCATTGCCTGGTCAGCCGGCTGAGTGGTTTGTTTTGATTAGCGTTCTTTTTTTTTAATCAATTACCTTTTATTGAGCTTTACACATAACAAAAATCAAAAAGAGGAAAAAATACCAAATACAATAATAAACGAATATATAAACCACAGACAATTCAGATTACCATACAGAATATACCATAACATACTGTAACACATTAGCACAGGTGATTTGTTGGCCAGACTTCAGCATTCATCTTCTCACATAAGACATGATATTATATAAGTAGCGTTCAGCGTACTTGACCAAGTTGTGATTCTGCTGTAGAAGATATGAATGTTGTGCTGTATAGTAGGAAGGTCTAGATTGCAAAGTGGTGACACTTTGATTAGATCTTCTGCTAGGTAAGCCGTTTCCATATGCTGCATGCATTTGAACTGTTCATTAAGCTGCCATGTCTGCAGTTCTGCTATAAAGAAACTGTCACTCTGCCCATTGAGAAAAAAGTGTCAGGGTCTGTTTAAAGCTCACCCCTGACCCCTTTATCCTCATGCTCCCTTGCTACTCCATTGCTATATCAGAAACATGAGTTAAAAAAAGGTCAGGGGTGAACGTTAAAGTGTCTCAGTCTCTTACAAAAGCTGAACTGCAGACATTAAAACTAAATACAGAGTTAGAATGCATGCAGCATATAAGAGCTGCTTCCTTTCAGAGAATTTGTAAATCTGTGCAGCCACATTTGTGTCTCTTTAATAATGATAATTGTTGGACCAAGCCATCCTCCTGAATGGTTCTATCATAGCATACATTCTGCAGCCCCACCCAGCAGAGCTTCCACAGAAACTTAATTTAGGGTAACTGAGTATAAATACCAACTTAGGGTTCCAGTGTATTCTGTTTATATTAGCCCACTAAATGATTCTACCTGTTGCTTCATAACATACAGTAAGATTCATTGGCAAGAACCCACTGCAGAGGATTCTAATACAAAGAATTAGTTTTGGGGCTCCTTTAATGCATATTATTTTTCTGCATGTACAGTGGTACCTCGGTTCACGAACGCTTCTGTTCGCGAACAATCCGGTTCGCGAACAGGAAGTTCAGCAAAATTCTGCTTCCGTTCGCGAACCCTGCATCGGGTGACGAAAACAACCGCAGCCATCTTCCCTACTCTGACACTGGTCGTGGCTTCCTCTAGTCGAGATCGTGGTGTGATTACAGTTTGATTCGGTTCGCAACCAGAATTGTGGAACAAATTAAGTTTGCGAACCGAGGTACCACTTTATATCTATGCCTTCTTGCCATGGTCCCATCTGGTCAGTATGCCTCTATCAGAAAATCACAGGCCCCCTACAATATGTTGTTCTTTCAAGCATAATTGCCAGTTTTGTTGCTGTTACCTATCTGAGCCATTGCTTGCATCTCATTCCCAAAGTACATCACCAAGATTACTGACATTACCTCTTGTGACCAAAACCAACACCACTATACCCAAATCCATCAGCAATGGAAAGCAGAGTTCTCCTCCATCCTGTCCAGTTGCTAGCATAACAAATTGGCTCTACTAGATTGCACAGCTCCCTGATGCCCCTTGGGGGCAGGAACTGATGTGAATGTGCAATATGTAACGCACTGTGTAAATTGTCTGCTTCATATACAGTAAATACCAGTAACAAATAAAAATAGTCTGCTCTGTTCTGGTCTTGCAATTGTGCTTCTGTGTTGTCACCCTTTTAAATGGGCTTAGATACAATTACAGCCACAAAAAGTCACTTTGCCTTTACTCCACTCTACTGAATAATTGCAGTCTTTTTAAATTTTATGTATTCTACCTTCATCACACATAAGTGCCTACGAACCTGTATGGGTCCATATAGCAGAACATGTGCCTTTTGTAGTTTTCTTTTTCTCCACAGGTTGAAATCTGTTCACCACATGTTACAAAAGAGGAATTAGCACATTGATTTGTGATATTTTGATAATGTGTTTTTGAAAGTAGGCATCAGTTCACTGTCAATGTTTAGCAGTGATGTATGACCAATGTACCGAGTGTACAAGGCACTATGATTTTACTGATTGTGTTACAGGACATAAGTACATTTCCCATGTTGTCTCCATGAAACCTAGGCGCAGATCCTCCTACTGTGCTCTGCTGTGTGTGCTCTGCAGCTCTACTAATAGGGAGATCAAGACATGCATGAGACACATCATCAGTGGGACGAATAACAACACTACTTCAAGGGAATTATTACTACCCACTAAAGCAACCTGTTTATTTGAACTCCCTCTGTGAAGATGTCTATATGTTTGATCACAGCACACTGTCCACTCTGAATATCTGTACTGCAAGCCTATAAATAATACAGTATAACACAATAATACAGAGGTAAAAAGCACTACATGTTTTACAGAAGAATGGGGCACTGTGTGTAATAAAGGCATAAGGAAATTCATGTCAATGAGAAGCATGCAGCACTGCATATAGAGGGATGAAGCACTGTGTGTAATAAAGACACATGATTCATCTGATTGGTGGTAAAGATACTGGGGAATTAACATTGTGCTGG